GTGAGTCTTACTACAGTAGATGGAGAGCCTGTTCCTTTTAATGCATGAATGGGTTCTTGTATGTTCACTTATGTTGTTGGTCCATCGTTTGATTCCAGCACACAGAGACGCTGAACATTGTGTTCCTCATCTACTTCAGAATACTGAAGAAAGCTCAGAAGTCCATCTTACTGCCCTCCGTTTTCCTCTGTGTTCTTGATTAACATGGTTGCAATTGTTTCCTGAAGGTTTGCTCATTTGATAAACTTGGAGTTCTTCGATGATTTGTTGGTGGTGCTGTACGGCCTCATCACATCGGGTGTAAGTATTTCAACCAGGAGCACCTGCTTCACGTCACGCTTCATGCATTAACATGTGAGCGTTCTCCTTCTCTCAGGATCTGACGTATCGCGAGAGCCTTCACTGCATCCTCACATCCTTCCACATCCTCTCAGGACAAGGTCAGTGCCGCCACAGCTCTGGTTTCACAAACATCCCACCCTCGCTGAGCTAAAATGCATCTGTTTCCAACAGGTGACGTCCTCAACATCGACCCTTTGAAATTCTACAACCACTTCTACAAAACCCTGCTGACGCTGCACGCAGGTGAGATCTCCAGTGTCTCTTTGTTCTGCACACCGAGTTATTTAATATGAGCGAGAACATCCCGTCACTTAGAAATTGTAGTGTCCCAGACATTTATTACACTTCACTTTGCATTCACTTGAGATAAAGTCTAGTTTTCTGAGAAACTGAACAAAATGAAGTGAGTCTGTGCTTAAAACAAGGACAGACATCTGTCAGTGGGCTATGAAAACTTGTTTTTCTTTTGAATTTAATTTATTTCTAAGCCCATTAGCAGATATTTGTTCTTGCTTTAATCATAAACTCACTTCATTTTGATGCATTTTTCTTAAAACAAGACTTCTCGCGTACGTTTTGCTTCTCAAGTAAATGATGTATAGATCTTTAGACACTTGCACATGAAATGACACAAAATATACTGAGGAACAACATTTTTTTGCGGTGTGATCAGAAGGTAAAGTAAGTGTTATTTCCCATTTCTAGTGGTTTGGATCAGTGCGATTCAAGCCTTAAGCTTTTTTATTTTGTGTGTGTGTGTGTGTGTGTGTGTGTGTGTGAAATGAAATGAAAATTAGCAACTGGAGATCTGTAGGAATTTTTATTTTCAAACTTTGTGTTGTTAATGGGTCAAAGACGTTAAGATGTTCGCATCAAAAGTGATTTTATGTCCATAGAAAGCACATTAAATGTAAGTA